AGAAAATGGGAAAAAATGGGAAAAATGGGAATAAAAGGTTGAGGAAATGGGGAAAAAATGGGGGAAAATGGGAATAAAAGTTGAGGAAATGTGGCAAAAAATGGGGAAAATGGGGGAAAGGGGGAAAAATGGGGGAAAATGGGGGGAAATGGGGAAAATGGTGAAAAATGGGAATAAAAGGTTGAAGAAAAGTGGGAAAAATGGGGAAAAAAGGGGGAAAAAATGGGGAAAAAGTGGGAAAAATGGGAATAAAAGGTTGAAGAAAATGGGGAAAAATGGGAAAAAATGGAGAAAATGGGAAAAAAGGGGAATAAAAGGTTGAAGAAAAGTGGGAAAAATGGGGAAAAAAGGGGGAAAAATGGGGAAAAAATGGAGGAAAGGTTGAGGGAATGGGGAAAAAATGGGGAAAAATGGGAATAAAAGTTTGAAGAAAATGGGAAAAAATGGGAATAAAAGGTTGAGGAAAAGTGGGAAAAGGAGTGAAAATGGGAAAAAAGGGGGAAAAGGGAAAAAAATGGGAATAAAAGTTTGAGGAAATGGGGAAAAATGGGGAAAAATAATAAAAGGTTGAGGAAAAGTGGGAAAAGGAGTGAAAATGGGAAAAAAGGGGGAAAAGGGAAAAAAATGGGAATAAAAGTTTGAGGAAATGGGGAAAAATGGGGAAAAATGGGGAAAAATGGGGAAAAATGGGGGAAAAATGGGAATAAAAGGTTGAGGAAATGGGGGAAAATGGGGAAAAATGGGAAAAAAGGGAGAAAATGGGAAAAAAGGGGAATAAAAGGTTGAAGAAAAGTGGGAAAAATGGGGAAAAAAGGGGGAAAATGGGGAAAAAAGGGAGAAAAGGTTGAGGAAATGGGGAAAAAATGGGTGAAAATGGGAATAAAAGGGGGAAAAGAGGGAAAAATGGGAATAAAAGGTTGAGGAAATGGGGAAAAGGGGAAAAAAGGGGGAAAAATGGGAATAAAAGGTTGAAGAAAAGTGGGAAAAATGGGGAAAAAAGGGGGAAAAATGGGGGAAAATGGGGAAAATGGGAAAAAATGGGAATAAAAGATTGAGGAAAAGTGGGAAAATGAAGGAAAATGGGAAAAATGGGGAAAATTTGGAATAAAAGGTTGTGGAAATGTGGGAAAATGGGGAAAAAAGGGGGAAAAGGGGTAAAAATGGGGAAAAATGGGAATAAAAGGTTTAGGAAAAATGGGAAAAATGGGGAAAAAAGGGGGAAAAATGGGGGAAAAATGGGAATAAAAGGTTGAAGAAAATGGGGAAAAATGGGGAAAAATGGGAAAAAAGGAAGAAAATGGGAAAAAGGGAATAAAAGGTTGAAGAAAAGTGGGAAAAATGGGGAAAAAAGGGAGAAAAGGTTGAGGAAATGGGGAAAAAATGGGAAAAAATGGGAATAAAAGTTGAGGAAAAGTGGGAAAATGAAGGAAAATGGGAAAAATGGGGAAAATTGGGAATAAAACGTTGTGGAAATGTGGGAAAATGGGGAAAAAAGGGGGAAAAGGGGTAAAAATGGGAATAAAAGGTTGAAGAAAATGGGAAAAAATGGGAAAAATGGGAATAAAAGGTTGAGGAAATGGGGAAAAAATGGGGAAAATGGGAATAAAAGTTGAGGAAATGTGGGAAAAGGAGGAAAATGGGAAAAAAGGGGGAAAATGGGGAAAAATGGGAATAAAAGGTTGAGGAAATGTGGGAAAATGGGAAAAAAGGGGGAAAAGGGGAAAAATGGGAATAAAAGTTTGAAGAAAATGGGAAAAAATGGGAATGAAAGGTTAAGGAAAAGGGGAAAAGAAGGAAAAATGGGAATTGGAAGGAAAAGGGGGAAAATGGGGAAAAAAGGGGGGAAAATGGGGAAAAAAAGGGAAAAAAGGTTGCGGAAATGGGGAAAAATGGGGGAAAATGGGAATAAAAGGTTGAGGAAAAAATGGGAATAAAATATTAAGGAAAATGGGGAAAATGGGAATAAAAGCTTGTGGAAATGGGGGAAAATGGGGGAAAAGGGGGAAAAAAAGGGAGAAAAAATGGGGAAAAAATGGGAATAAAAGGTTGAGGAAATGGGGGAAAAATGGGAATAAAAGGTTAAGGAAAAGGGGAAAAGAAGGAAAAAGGGGGAAAGGAGGAAAAGAGGGAAAAAATGGGGGGAAATGGGAATAAAAGGTTGAGAAAAAGGGGGGGAAATGGGAAAAATGGGAATAAAAGGTTGGGGAAATGTGGGAAAATGAGGGAAAATTGAAAAAAAAGGGGGAAAAGGTTGAGGAAATGGGGAAAAAATGGGAAAAAAGGTTGAGGAAAAGGGAGAAAAGAGGGAAAATGGGAAAAAATGGGGGAAAAGGGGGGAAAACATTGAGAAAATGTGGGAAAATCGGGAAAAAATGGGGAAAAACTGGGAATAAAAGGTTGAGGAAAAGGGGGAAAAAGAAGGAAAAGGAGGAAGTGGAAGGAAGAGGAAGTGGGGACAGAGTGAAAAATGAGATAAAAAAGAGGAAAATGGGAAAAAATGTTGTGGAAAAGGAGGAAAATGAAGGAAATGGAGGAAAAATGGGGGAAAAAGGGGGAGAAAATGGGGAAAAAAGGGGAGAAAATGGGGAAAAAAGAGGAAAAAAGGGAGAGAAAATGGGGAAAAGGAGGAAGAGGGAAAAAGGAAAAGGGAAAAAAGGAGGAAAAAAGGAAAAAAGAAGGAAATGAGGGAAAATGGAAGGAAAAGGAGAAGAAAGGGGAAAAAGGAAGAGGAAAACTGGGAAAAGAAGGAAAAGAGTTGGGAAAAAAAGGAAAAATGGGAAAAGAGGAAAAAGGGGAAAAGAAAAAAGAAAATGGAAAAGAGGGAAAATGGGAAAAGAGGAGAAAAAAAGGGGAAAAGAAAATGGAAAAGAGGAAAAATAGGAAAGGAGGAAAAATGGGAAAAAAGGAGGAAAAAGGGAGAAAAATAGGAAAAGAGAGGAAAAATGGGAAAAGAGAGAGAAGAAGGAAAGGGAAAAGGAGGAAAAATGGGAAAAAGAGGAGGAAAATGGGAAAAAGTGGGAAAAAGGAAAAGAGGAGGAAAAGTGGGAAAAAGAGGAGGAAAAAAGGGGGAAATGGAAAAGAGGAGGAAAAATAGGGAGAAGGAGGAAAAATGGGAAAAAAGGAGGAAAAAAAGGGAAAAGAAAAAAGAAAATGGAAAAGAGGAAAAATGGGAAAAAAAGAGGGAAAATGGGAAAAAAGAGGAGGAAAAGGGAAAAAGTGGGAAAAAGGAAAAGAGGAAAAGTGGGAAAAAAGGAGGAAAAAGGAAAGGAGGAAAAACGGGAAAAGAGGAGGAAAAAGGGGAAAAGAGAAAAGAAATGAAAAGGAGAAAAAGAGGAAAAATGGGGAAGAAGGAAAAATGGGAAAAGAGGAGGAAAAGAGAGGAAAAATGGGAAAAAAGTAGGGAAAAAGGAAGAAAAATGGGAAAAAACTGGGAAAAGGGAGAAAACTGGGAAAAGAGAGAGAAAAGGAGGAAAGGAAAAAGGGGGAAAAATGGGAAAAAAAGGAGGAAAAGGGAAAAAGTGGGAAAAAGGAAAAGAGGAGGAAAAAAGGGGGGAAATGGAAAAGAGGAAAAATAGGGAGAAGGAGGAAAAATGGGAAAAAAGGAGGAAAAAGGAGGAAAAAGGGGAAAAGAGGAGGAAAAATGAAGAAAAATGGGAAAAGAGAAGGAAGAAGGGGAAAAGAGAGAGAAGGATGAAAGGGAAAAGGGGGAAAAATGGGAAAAAAAAGGAGGAAAACTGGGAAAAAGAGGAGGAAAAAAGGGGAAAAGAGAAAAGAAAGGAAAAGGAGAAAAAAGGAAAAATGGGGAAGAAGAAAGAAAAATGGGAAAAGAGGAGGAAAAATGGGAAAAGAGGAGGAAAAAAAAGGAAAGAAAAAATGGAAATGAGGAAAAATAGGGAAGGAAGAAAAATGGGAAAAAAGGAGGAAAAATGGGAAAAAAGGAGAGAAAAAGGGAGAAAAATGGGAAAAAAGGAGGGAAAAGGGAGAAAAATGGGAAAAGAGAAGGAAAAAATGGGAAAAGAGAGAGAAGGAGGAAAGGGAAAAGGAGGAAAAATGGGAAAAAAAGGAGGAAAAGGGGAAAAGTGGGAAAAAGGAAAAGAGGAGGAAAAACGGGAAAAAGAGGAGGAAAAAAGGGGGGAATGGAAAAGAGGAGGAAAAATAGGGAGAAGGAGGAAAAATGGGAAAAAAGGAGGAAAAAGGAAAGGAGGAAAAAGGGGAAAAGAGGAGGAAAAACGGGTAAAGAGGAAGAAAAAGGGGAAAAGAGAAAAGAAATGAAAAGGAGAAAAAGAGGAAAAATGGGGAAGAAGGAAAAATGGGAAAAGAGGAGGAAAAGAGAGGAAAAATGGGAAAAAAGTAGGGAAAAAGGAAGAGGAAAAATGGGAAAAAAGTAGGGAAAAAGGAAGAAAAATGGGAAAAAACTGGGAAAAGGGAGAAAACTGGGAAAAGAGAGAGAAGGAGGAAAGGAAAAAGGGGGAAAAATGGGAAAAAAAGGAGGAAAAGGGAAAAAGTGGGAAAAAGGAAAAGAGGAGGAAAAAAGGGGGAAATGGAAAAGAGGAAAAATAGGGAGAAGGAGGAAAAATGGGAAAAAAGGAGGAAAAAGGGGAAAAAAGGAGGGAAAATGGGAAAAGAGGAGGAAAAGAGAGGAAAAATGGGAAAAAAGGAGGGAAAAAGGAAGAAAAATGGGAAAAGAGAAGGAAAAAAGGGGAAAAGAGACAAGGAGGAAAAGGAAAAGGAGGAAAATTGGGAAAATGGGAAAAAAAAGGAGGAAAATGGGAAAAATCTCGGCAAAAAGGGAGGGAAAAAAGGCCCAAAACCCCCCAAAAACCAGGGAAAAACCCTCTGTGCAAACCCCCATCCCCCCCTCTTCCCAAAAAACCCCGCGGATCCCCCGTTTTCCATTGGCGTTCCGAAAGTTCCGGCGGCGGCGGCGGCGGGGGCGGGGCTGGATATCAAAATTCCCATAAAAATAGATCCTATATAATAATTTTCTCTGTTTCGTTTCGTTTCGTGTCCATCTTCCCGAGTTTCGTAAATTTATTTATATTTTATTTTCATTTTTTTGGGGGAATTCCTGACGTTTTCCCGGGGGTTTTATTCCGTCAGCAGCTGCTGCAGGAGGCTCTTCCCTTGTCCCGGCGGCGGCGGCGGCGGCGGAGCGGGATTTTTGGGATTGGCCAACGGAGCCGGCGGGTTGAGGTAGGGATCTCCCACCAAATTCACCGTGCACTGGACGTCGGCGAACACCTGGACCTGCTGAACCTGGGAGGAATTCCCAAAAAAAAAAAGGAAAAACAAGAAAAAAAAAAAAAAAAAAAAAAAAAAAAAAAAAAAAAAACGGGATTTAGCGGATCCGGGGAAGGGGCGGAAGCGGGATCTGGGAACTACGTGAAGCGGGAAACTCACTAGAGAACTTCTCCTCTAGTCTGGAGCCAGCCCAGAGAAGAATTCTTCGGTCTTCACGTCCTACAAAAAGAAAAGCGCTGCGGCTCAGTCGGCTCCGGGAAAAAAAAATAATTCGGGATAACGGCGGAAAAACGGCTCCAGACGGAGCTGGGATGGGGTTTGGAGGCATCTCAGGGGGTTTGAGGAATGGGGTGGAGGTGGAGCCATCCTGGAGTTTCATGGATTGGGAGGCTCCTGGTGGATGTCAGGTGTTGATCCAGGAAAAAGAATTTGGGATTACAGCGGAAAAACGGCTCTGAAGAAATCTGGGATGGGGTTTGGAGGCATCTCAGGGGGTTTGAGGAATGGGGTGGAGCTGGAGCCATCCTGGAGTTTCATGGATTGGGAGGCTCCTGGTGGGTGCCGGGCGCTGATCCAGGAAAAAATCTGGGATTATGGTAGAAAAACGGCTCTGAACAAATCTGGGATTGGGTTTGGAGGCATCTCAGGGGGTTTGAGGAGCAGGGTGGGACATGGGGTGGGTGGAGCTGCAGCCATCCCGGATTTTGTGCATTGGGAGGCTCCTGGTGGATGTCAGGTGTTGATCCAGGAAAAAGAATTTGGGATTATGGTGGAAAAACGGCTCTGAAGAAATCTGGGATTGGGTTTGGAGGCATCTCAAGGGCTTTGAGGAGCAGGGATGGACGTGGGGTGGGTGGAGCTGGAGCCATCCTGGATTTTCATGGATTGGGAGGCTCCTGGTGGATGCCGGGCGCTGATCCAGGAAAAAAATTTGGGATTACAGCGGAAAAACGGCTCCAAATGAAGTTTGGATGGGGTTTGGAGGCATCTCGAGGGGTTGGAGGAATGGGGTGGAGCTGGAGCCATCCCGGATTTTCATGGATTGGGAGGCTCCTGGTGGATGTCAGGTGTTGATCCAGGAAAAAATTTGGGATTATGGTGGAAAAACGGCTCAGGATGGAGTTTGGATGGGGTTTGGAGACATCTCAAGGGGTTTGAGGAGCAGGGATGGACGTGGGGTGGGTGGAGCTGGAGCCATCCTGGATTTTTGTGCATTGGGAGGCTCCTGGTGGGTGCCGGGCGCTGATCCAGGAAAAAAATTTGGGATTATGGTGGAAAAACGGCTCTGAAGAAATCTGGGATTGGGTGTGGAGGCATCTCAAGGGCTTTGAGGAACAGGTGGGACGTGGGGTGGGTGGAGCTGGAGCCATCCCGGAGTTTTGTGCATTGGGAGGCTCCTGGTGGATGTCAGGTGTTGATCCAGGAAAAAAATTTGGGATAACGATGGAAAAACAGCTCCAGACGGAGCTGGGATGGGGTGTGGAGGCATCTCAAGGGGTTTGAGGAATGGGGTGGGACGTGGGGTGGGTGGAGCTGGAGCCATCCTGGATTTCCATGGATTNGCATTGGGAGGCTCCTGGTGGATACTGGGCACTGATCCAGGAAAAAAAAAATGGGATTACAGCAGAAAAATGGCTCCAAATGAAGTTTGGATGGGGTTTGGAGGCATCTCAAGGGGTTGGAGGAATGGGGTGGAGCTGGAGCCATCCTGGATTTTCACAGATGGGAAAGTTCCTGGTGGGTGCCGGGTGCTGATCCAAGAAAAAAACCTGGGATTCTGGTGGAAAAACGGCTCTGAAGGAACCGGGATGGGGTTTGGAGGCATCTCAGGGGCTTTGAGGAACGCGTGGGACGTGGGGTGGGTGGAGCTGGAGCCATCCCGGATTTCGGTCTCCCGGTGGATGCGGCGCTCCGGGGCTGCGGGGCTGGATTTGGTGGCACCGTGGTGGCTCCAGACCAAAGGTGTCACCCAATGGGTGTCACCCAACACCGGTGGGACCTTGGTGACATCAACCCCAATGGGTGTCACCCAACACCGGTGGGACCTTAGTGGATCCAAGCCCACGAGCTGTCACCCAGTGGGTGTCACCCAACACCGGTGGGACCTTGGTGACATCAACCCTAATGGGTGTCACCCAACACCAGTGGGACCTTGGTGACATCAACCCAAGAAGAGTCACCCAACACCGATGGCACCATGGTGGCTTCAACCCCAAGAGGTGTCACCCAATGGGTGTCACCCAGCTCTGGTGGGACCTTGGTGGCTTCAATCCTAATGGGTGTCACCTCATGGGTGTCCCCAACACTGGGAGGGCCACGATGGCTTCAGGCCAAAGGTGTCACCCAATGGGTGTCACCCAACACCGGTGGCACCTTGGTGGCTCCACCCCCAAGGGTTCATTGTCACCCAACTCTGGTGGCTTCAACCCCAAGGCTTGGTCATCACCCAGCTCCAGAGGGGTCTTGGTGGCTTCAAACCCAGGAGTGTCACCCAATGGGTGTCACCCAACGCTGGTGGCACCAGGATGACCTCAGTGTCACCCAACCCTGAGACCCTGGTGGCTTCAAACCCAAGAGGTGTCACCCAATGGGTGTCACCAAACACCGGTGGAACCTTGCCTTGGTGGCTTCAACCCCAGAGGTGTCACCCAACGGGTGTCACCCACCAGTGGTGGGACCTTGGTGGCAACAACCCATGGGTGTCACCCAACACTGGTGGCACCAAAGTGACCTTAACCCCATCAGGTGTCACCCAACCCTGCTGAGACCTTGGTGGCTTCAAACCCAGGAGTGTCACCCAATGGGTGTCACCCAACGCTGGTGGCACCAGGGTGACCTCAGTGTCACCCAACCCTGCTGAGACCTTGGTGGCTTCAAACCCAGGAGCTGTCACCCAAAGCTGGTGGCTCTAACCCCGGTGGGTGTCCCCAAGGCTGGTGGGACCATGGCAGCTTCAAACCCAAGAGGTGTCACCCAATGGGTGTCACCCAACTCCAGTGGGACCTTGGTGGCTTCATCCCCAAGGGTGTCACCCAAAGGGTGTCACCCAACACTGGTGGGACCTTGCCTTGGTGGGTTCAAGCCCAGGAGGTGTCACCCAAAGGGTGTCACCCAACACCGGTGGGACCTTGGTGACTCCATTTCCAAGGGTGTCACCCAATGGGTGTCACCCAACTCCAGTGGGACCTTGGTGGATCCAAGCCTAAGAGATGCCACCCAATGGGTGTCACCCAACGTTGGTGGCACCACAGTGACCTCAATGTCACCCAACCCTGCCGAGACCCTGGTGGCTTCAAACCCAAGAGTGTCACCCAATGGGTGTCACCAAACTCTGGTGGGACCTTGGTGGCTGCAAACCCAAGAGTGTCACCCCATGGGTGTCACCCAATTTTAGATGGACCTTGGTGGCTTCAACCCCAAAGGTGTCACCCAATGGGTGCCACCCAACTCCAGTGGGACCTTGCCTTGGTGGCTTCCAACCAATGGGTGTCACCCACCATGGGTGTGACCTTGCCTTGGTGGCTTCAACCCCAAAGGTGTCACCCCATGGGTGCCACCCAACTCTAGTGGGACCTTGCCTTGATGGCTTCCAACCAATGGGTGTCACCCCATGAGAGTCACCCACCCAAAGGTGTCACCCCATGGGTGTCACCCAACACTGGTGTGACCCTGCCTTGATAACTTCAACCCAATGGGTGTCACCAATGGGTGTCACCCAACTCCTGTGTGACCTTGGTGACTTCAACCCAAGAGGTGTCACCCAATGGGTGTCACCAAACACCGGTGTGACCTTGCCTTGGTGGCTTCCAACCCAATGGGTGTCACCAATGGGTGTCACCCAACTCTAGATGGACCTTGGTGGCTCTAACCTAAGAGGTGTCACCCAATGGGTGTCACCCACCACTGGTGGGACCTTGGTTGGCTACAACCCCACGGGTGTCAGCCACCACTGGTGTGACCATGGCCTCTTCGGGCCCAAGAGGTGTCACCCAATGGGTGTCACCAAACTCCTGTAGGACCTTGGTGGCGCCAACCCAAGAGGTGTCACCCAATGGGTGCCACCAAACACCGGTGTGACCTTGGTGGCTCCAACCCCAAAGGTGTCACCCAATGGGTGTCACCCAACTTTAGATAGACCTTGGTGGCTCCAACCCAAGAGGTGTCACCCAATGGGTGTCACCAAACACCGGTGTGACCTCAGTGGCTCCAATCCCGAAGGTGTCACCCAATGGGTGTCACCCACCACTGGTGTGACCTTGGTTCCTCCACCCCATGGGTGTCACCCACCACTGGTGTGACCCTGATGTCTCCATCCCTGCAGGTGTCACCCATGGGTGTCACCCACCACTGGTGTGACCCTGGTGTCTCCATCCCCATGGGTGTCACCCACCACTGGTGTGACCCTGGTGTCTCCATCCCCGCAGGTGTCACCCATGGGTGTCACCCACCACTGGTGTGACCCTGGTGTCTCCATCCCACGGGTGTCACCCATGGGTGTCACCCACCACTGGTGTGACCCTGGTGTCTCCATCCCCGCAGGTGTCACCCATGGGTGTCACCCACCACTGGTGTGACCCTGGCGTCTCCATCCCTGCAGGTGTCACCCATGGGTATCACCACCGCGGTTCCTTCACCCCAACCTCGCTCTCCTGCCTGACCCACCCGGGATCATCCCCAGGAACGTGCCGAGGTTTTTTTGGGAAGGTCGCGGCTCTCCGGAGCTTCCCGGAGCTTTGAGGAGCACCAACTGACCTGGGCGCCGTCGGGCTCGGCCTTGAGCAGCTCCCCGGAGCCCAGCTGGTTACAGAAGAGCCCTGGAGGTCTCAGCGCCGCGTCCGGGACCTGCCGGGAGCAACGGCCGCGCTCAGCCGCCGTTCCGGAGATCCGGAGCGGCTCCGGCCGGGATTTGGGGATGGGGAACTCTGGGAATCTCCTGATTGTGTGGAGCTGGTCCCAATCTGCTCCCGTTCCCCATCCCATTCCCAATTCCCAATCCCATTCCCAATCCCATTCCTGATCCCAATCCCATTCCCAGGGATCCACGGCCCCATTCCTGTTCCCATTCCCAATCCCAGGCATCCATAGTCCTGTTCCTGATCCCAGGGATCCATGGTCCTGTTCCTGATCTCATTCCCAATCCCATTCCTGTTCCCGATCCCATTCCCAATTCCCAGAGATCCCCATTCCTGTTCCCAATCCCATTCCCCATCCCATTCCCAATCCCATTCCTGTTCCCAATCCCATTCCTGTTCCCAATCCCATTCCCCATCCCATTCCCGATCCCATTCCTGATCCCATTCCCCATCCCATTCCCGATCCCATTCCCGATCCCATTCCTGATCCCATTCCCGATCCCATTCCTGATCCCATTCCCCATCCCATTCCCAATCCCATTCCAGCCGCAATTCCGGTGGTTCCGGAGTGAGCTCTGCTGGGATTTGGGAATGGAGAGTTCCGGCTTTTTCCTGCTCTCCTTCCCCGTTCTGGAGCTGTTCCTGCCCTGAATCCACCATTCCCTGGGTCATTCCCGATCCCATTCCCTGGGTCATTCCCGATCCTGTTCCCAATCCCATTCCCTGATCCCATTCCCTGGGTCATTCCTGATCCTGTTCCCAATCCCATTCCCTGATCCCATTCCCAGGGTCATTCTCGATCCTGTTCCCAATCCCATTCCCGATCCCATTCCCTGTGCCATTCCCGATCCCATTCCCTGGGTCATTCCCCATCCCATTCCCTGGGTCATTCCCAATCCCATTCCCTGGGTCATTCCCTGTGCCATTCCCGATCCCATTCCCTGTGCCATTCCCTGGGTCATTCCCTGATCCCATTCCCTGGGTCATTCCCTGTGCCATTCCCGGTCCCATTCCCCATCCCATTCCCGATCCCATTCCCAGGATCATTCCCAAACCTGTTCCCAATCCCATTCCCTGTGCCATTCTTGGTCCCGTTCCCAATCCCATTCCTGATCCCATTCCCAATCCCATTCCTGATCCCATTCTCTCTGTCATTCCCGGTCCCATTCCTGATCCCATTCCCGATCCCATTCCTGATCCCATTCCCTGTGTCATTCCTGGTCCCGTTCCTGATCCCAATCTCTGTCATTCCTGATCCCATTCCCTGTGCCATTCCCGGTCCCGTTCCCAATCCCATTCCTGATCCCATTCTCTGTCATTCCCAATCCCATTCCCAATCCCATTCCCAATCCCATTCCCTGTGCCATTCCTGATCCCATTCCTGGTCCCATTCCCCATTCCCATTACCCCAGTGATCCGTGGCCCCATTCCTGATCTCATTCTGGATCCCATTCCTGATCCCACTCCTGATCCCATTCCCGATCCTACTCCTGATCCTATTCCTGATTCCATTCCTGGTCCCATTCCCCATTCCCATCTCCCCAGTGATCCGTGGCCCCATTCCTGATCTCATTCCTGATCCCATTCCTAATTCCACTCCTGATCCCATTTCTAATCCCACTCCTGATTCCATTCCTGATCCCATTCCCATTCCTATTCCCGATCCCATTCCCGATCCCATTCCCATTGCTATTCCCGATCCCATTCCTGATCCCATTCCTGGCCTCATTCCTGATCCCGTTCCTGGCCTCATTCCTGATCCCGTTCCTGATCCCATTTCCTGCGCCATTCCCAGTCCTGTTCCCAGTCCCATTCCTGATCCCATTCCTGATCCCATTCCCCATTCCCATTCCTGATCCCATTCCCATCTCCCCAGTGATCCGTGGCCCCATTCCTGATCCCATTCCCGATTCCATTCTGGGTTTCGTTCCTGATCCCATTCCCAATCCCACTCCTGATCCCATTCCTGACCCTGTTCCAGATTCCATTCCTGATCCTATTCCTCATCCCATTCCCATTCCTGTTCCTGATCCCATTCCCAATCCCATTCCCATTCCTGTTCCTGATCCCATTCCCAATCCCATTCCCATTCCTGTTCCTGATCCCATTCCCAATCCCATTCCCATTCCTGTTCCTGATCCCATTCCCGATCCTATTCCCAATCCCATTCCCGATCCCATTCCTGGCCCAATTCCTGATCCCATTCCAGATTCCATTCCGGATTTCGTTCCTGATCCCATTCCCGATCCTGTTCCAGATTCCATTCCTGATCCTATACCTGATCCCATTTCCATCCCATTCCCATCCCATTCCCATCCCGTTCCCATCCCCCACCCCCATTC